ACAACAGCTGGTTTCTCCCTTAACTATAGGTGGGCACTACAGTATTGGAGACCAAGATTTGAAGTCTTACATCTGGGTAGCACTTTCTGGTTAGGAACAAAATCGTCAATGAGAAATAATTGTCTAAGTAACTTTTTATGTAGACTTAAGCCTAATGTCTGGGAAGTGTAATCCCCTGAACTCCTAAAGAAATATACTGATAACTTTACTCTTTGGTTATACTTTCCTTTTGGGTATTTAAGACCATACAGTTGGCCCAAATAAATTAATTTATTTTTACATGTAAGGTCATTTGAGGATCTGTTCCTCAGGGGTCACATGGGCTTTGGAGGAGCTCCTGGCTCCTTTCTTTTACCAGTTCCAACTATGTGAAGATAAGTCAAAGGTCTTGTTCAACCATGTCTGGCTTCACTTGGAAGCATGAATGAGATGATTCCTCTGAGTTGACCTCCTCTTTGTAGACTGGACACTGGTTCAAGTCTATCTTGTGGGGCCTCCCTGAACAAGAGGACACGTGACTCACCATATTTACAGGACATTTTGAGAGATGTTCCATAGTCCCCTGGAACTTGGTCGACCTTGGAAGGCAAGGGGCAAAAACTGTCCTTTAAGTCCCTCTGACCACATTAGTGTAGGCCTGAAAGTATGGCTGTTAAACATCCAATAAGGTTAGTTCCACCTGTCCGATACTTTTAATTACCATGAGCTATGTAGATAACATTTAGGTAAAGAACCAAATATTCCAAAATAAACATTGACTAGACTTATATTTTGTTCCTTAAACGAGTTGACTAAACTCTGACCATAAACATTTTAATATTATGTGTATATTATTTTTGTCTCATCCTTTATATATCATAAGAAACCTACACAGACCTCTATCACTAGCTTAGGCTTTCTCATTTTTTCTATTTTGGAAAGTAGCTCCATTCCCATATCATTTAAACATCTTTTACATTCTCATTTTCTTTTTTGTAAATAATTATGAGATATAATAGCATTAACAAATAAATTTTCCTTTGGTTGTGAAACTTCTTTTCCTGGGGATGCTAAGCAATGCTTATTGCCTTTTAAGGCTCTAGTGTCAAGCCAATATAAATGGTTGGTAATTTGTAATTAAATGGTGTAAAATATAGAATCACACTCAAAATCCTCTCAGAAATTGGAAGTCTTCATAGAAATAGGAAAAACATTCTAAAATTCGTATGGAAGTACAAAAGACCCTGGATTGCCAAAACAATCCTGAGAAAAAAGAGCAATGCCACAGGGATTGCCAAAGCATATTTCCAGATATATACAGAACTGTAGTAATAAAAACAGCATAACACTGTCACACAGACATGTAAGCCAATTAAACAAAACGAGTGGAATGATTCTCCTCCAAGTAATGAACAAAGGTGAAGCCTGTTTTAGAAATGCATCAAATCACAAAAATCCATACAAAAATGACTTGCTAGTATGAAGGACACACAAGAGCCTTTGCTGTCTTCTTTGTATAAAGCAGGTCACAGGAGTAAACCGTTCATTGCTCAATTCTTACAGAAGAACAAAAGGCAATGTGTAAACAAACTGTGAAAGATTGATAGATTTGACCACACAACAAACTCTCACCCTTTCCCACAGATAGATATCTAGACACAAGAAAGAACTAAGTGCCAAACAGGCTTTTGAGAGAGAAGGAAACCAAAGAACTGTAATACACTGAAAGAATGCATTGGACACCAGGAATGTAAATGTCCCCACGCCACTATACAAGGAACGACTTCACAGGCCTCTACAGTAAAGTATGTGACCAACAAATCCACAAAAACACCTACTCAGAGACCAAAATAATCACCAAATGAAGCTCTTAGGTCACCTTCATTTTTATGGTAGCTTCTCCATGTGAACACCCAGAGCGAGAGGTGATGCTTAGAAAAGCATTTCCCACCTCTTCTCTTCAAAGATGTTTGCTAGAATTTCAAATTAGCAACCGTTTGAAATATTATTAAATAATTGCCATCATATATTCGTTCTTTTAGATGCCTTAGATTTTAATCCTTTTTTTCATTTGGTACATGCATGAAATATTGTTTTGACTCATTAGTATATACAATGCAAACATGTTAATCAAAAATTTAAACATCGATGTAATCTAAAGTGAAATAGCAAACACTAGAGTTGGGAATGTTAGGAGAGGAGGAGACGGAAGATGTTTCATAGCAGGTAATAAAATCGTGTTTCAAGAGGGAAGAAGGCCTGATGACTGCAGTGTGACACGGTGACAATTACAATACCTGGTAGCTTATGCTTTGGAGTCACTAATTTTGATACTGTAAGAAAGAAACAACATTATCCTGAAAAGTTGGTCCTAGGTTCGTATTTCTGTTGCAGAATCAGATGAGTGGAGCATAGATCATTTCATCACAAAGAGATGATAAATATTTAAGGACAGGACTGTACTAAATTCCCTGATTTGAACATCCTATGCTGTGTACATGTCACAATGTGTCCCACATATATGTGAAGTTACTAGGGATAAATTAAAAGTCATGATGAAATGATTAATAAAAGATATGATAATCATAATTATTCCTCCTTTGACCTTCTAGTTCTTCCCCTACCCTGATTGATGTGTGAGAGAAGACATTCAGCACTCGACTTTGTGGGACTAAGGGTGTGGAAGGGCATGAGGTGTGAGGAGAGGAGAGAGGAGGAAACGTAATAGAGTAGGAAATATGGCCAGTGTATGTTACACACATGTGTGTAAATGTCACAACATATTTTGAATAACTAATACATACTGATATTTAACTGAAGAAAAATACCATGAGCTCATTGCATTAAAGATAACACAAAGCATTATGTTTACAGCAACTTATTTAACACTGTCACTTTATGTTCTAGGGGTTCTTATTATATCTGAAAACTTCTGTGTAGTATGCATGTGTAGTTGCTCATACACTTTTTACACAGTGCTGCAGTAGGATGCTACGCCTGTCGTATGTACTGTCTGCATTTGGTGCAGTGTTCTTTCTAGCTCTCTTACCCTACCTTCCCACTCAGTAATAGCTATAGAGACCTGAAAATGAATTATCATACTCCAGATTAGCTATTTAACAGGATGCATAATCTTTCGTAATGAGCCTGTGGCTCTGATTCTTCTAACGGTGTTTTGTTTCTTTCTCATCAACTTATAATTACTCTAATGCTGCAAGAACATTCGCTATTAGGTTAAACTGTGGTTCTCAGCGCAGAGAGATTTCATTCCCCAGGCAACATTGAGGAGCTTTAGAAATGTTTAGATATTTTCTTTTTTTTCCTTTTTTTTTTTAATGTTTAGCTATTTTACAGGGAGGAGTCACTGGAGGTTAGGGAAGCTGGGAAACCTACCACTAAGAATGATCTGGATAGCACGTCACCTGATTAGTATGCATGTGGTCTTAGGTATAATTTCCTACTTATATACATGCATGTGGTCTTAGGTATAATTTCCTAGTTACACACTCACACACACACAGAGATATCTGCACATGTGTACACAGACACAAATATGGCATCTCCGCCTGCTCTTTATACTGCTTTGGTTTCCTCATTTCATCTTCACTCTCTGACATGTTAAAAGATTATTGTTCTTGGGGCTGGAGAGACGGCTCAGTGGTAAGAGCACTGGTAGTTTTTGCAGAAGATCCAGGTTTGAATCCCAGCACGCACATGATGGCTAACAACCATTTGTAACTCCAGTTCCAGGGAATCCAACATGCTCTTTGGTTCCCTTCACAAATGAAATTTCAAAAGATTGTTGCTTTTCTAGAATAGTTTCATTTTGTATTATCCATGTATATGAGCACAAGTATTAAAAATGTGTGAGCTGCACCTCACCTGGAAGCTGCTTCCCTGAGAACTAGGTGTCATAATATGAGAAGGTGCTAGGAAAGGTGCCAAGGGAGAAAAGCAACCAGTACAACCCAGCTGTAAAGCCTATGAACCACCACAATGACCAGCCCAGGAAGACATCTCTAATGGTAAAAGAGCTGCCTTTCATCTAGGGGGTAACCAATAGCCATGCAATTGGACTTAAGGCCAGCTCAACAGGAGGGAATTCTTGACGGGTACTGTAAATGTAGACAAATATTCAAGGTTGGGGAGGTCATAGACCTTAGAAGAGGACCTACTATTGGTGCTTTCCTAAACAAATATGATTTCGAACTGTATCCTAAGTACTTGTCCTTATATCCACAGTTAAGTGTACCTCTCACACCCACCCCATCATATAAGCTTTTATTTTGCAGCAGACAGAGACTATAACAAAGTCCCACAAGTTGTCAAAATGCAGAGAATAATTGACTGTGGAGTACAGAGCCTCAATCGATACATCTACATTGCAACCCTACATCTAAAGCTCAGGGACCATCACAGAAGAGGGGGTAGAAAGATTCTAAGAGCCAGAGGACAGGACGTCTGCTGCTAGACAGTGTCTTCTAGACATTACAGGGAGTGTCTGGGCATGAGAAGAGTTGGACAGGAAGGAGGAGAGGTGAAAATAATGCATGTACAGTTCTAATGTACAAAATCCTCGAATAATGTGCAATCTGGTAAGCATGTGCACATGCAAATACATGTCATATCATCACTCCCAAAAGGCAATAGATACATGATTTCCTTGCTTTCATATGTTCTTTGTCATTGGTATGCATGAAGCTCCGTTTCTTAGCAACCTCTAGTACCTTGCTGGGCACTGCTTCTACCACGAGAAGCACCAAACATTCATGGTAGTAAGATAATTTCTTACTATGACTGTAAAACACGTGACTTCTGGGGGAAAGGCTCAGAGTGTGGCCAGAATCCCTAATCAGTGATGGCTTTAAGGGATTCCATAAGAGGATCAGATGCATGAGTACAGTTTAGAAGTTAATCTGTTAAAAAAATATAAGCTGTAGGGTTTAATCTGTGTCAGCAATGTCCGTTTACATGAGTGATCATCCTGTTTCCTCTCTCTGGCCATGTAGTGACATCTAGTCATGGAGTCCAGGAACAATACGAGAACTTCAGAATTTCTTCTTCTTGGCTTATCGGATGACCCAGATCAACAGCTGCTCATATTTGCACTCTTCCTCTTCATGTACCTGGCCACTGTGCTGGGGAACCTGCTCATCATCCTGGCCATCATCTCGGACAACCACCTGCACACACCCATGTACTTCTTCCTCTCCCACCTGTCCTTTGTGGATGTCTGCTTCACCTCCACCACAGTTCCAAAGATGCTGGTGAACATCCATACCCAGAGCCAGGTTATCACCTATGTTGGCTGCATCATCCAGATGTACATCTTCTTGGTTTTTGCAGAACTGGACAACTTTCTCCTGGCTGTGATGGCCTATGACCGCTATGTGGCCATCTGTTACCCCCTGCACTATGCGGCCATAATGAACTCCCGGCTCTGTGTGCTGCTGTTTCTGGTGTCCTGGATCATGAGTGTCTTGCATGCTTTGTTACAAAGCTTAATAGTGTTACAACTGTCCTTCTGTACAGTTGTGAAAATCCCCCACTTTTTCTGCGAGCTTAATCAACTGGCCCAACTCACCTGCTCAGACAACTTTCTGAGTGATCTGGTGATACATCTTGCTCCTGTCCTGCTGGCAGCTGCTTCCCTCAGTGGTATCCTTTACTCTTACTCCAAGATATTGTCTACCATATGTGAAATCTCCTCGGCTCAGGGGAAGTGCAAAGCATTTTCTACCTGTGCTTCTCACCTCTCCATTGTCTCCTTATTTTATAGTACAGGCCTAGGTGTGTATCTCAGTTCTACTGTGACCCAAAACTCACACTCCACTGCAAGAGCCTCAGTGATGTACAGTGTGGTCACCCCCATGATGAACCCATTCATTTACAGTCTACGGAATAAAGATGTGAAGAGAGCTCTGGAAAGGCTCTTCAGAGGAAAAGTATAAAACATCCCATTCCCTTGGAATGAAGAAAGGCCCGTGGTTGCAGGGAGAGAAACTGCAGAGTTAGAGAGTGGGATTCGTTCATCAGATCACAAAGATGGAAGGTGCTTCAAACCCTGTTCTGGAGGGCTTTAGAGATGGGCTGGCTCCGTGGTTACGAGTGCTTTCTGCTGTACCCGTTTGGATCTCAGCACTTATGCTGGGTGGCTCCCAATTGCCTGTACATCCAGACCCCAGGGATCTGATACCCTTTTTTTGGCCTCTTCAGACACATGCGCTCATATGCACAACACCCCCCATAAATATATAATATGTATTATATACAATAAATCTTATAAAAATAAATAAACATTTCTTGGAATTGCCATTGCTTTCATTTTAGGCTCTTTAAACAATGCAAGCGACCCACATTACTGAAGTCTTTGCTTTCTCTCTTAGTTCGCCCCTCTGATGTGGTTCTGACTTCCTAGTGTTATTCCAAACACTGGACCACAAATATTTGGACATTGCCATGTATTTAATGTGAGAAAAACACTTTAAAATAATATCTTTGTGTGTGACATGTATTCTATAACAGGAATACTTCTTTTGTTTCCCTAAGGTAAGTTTTACCCTAAGGGGAAGAAAGCCTCACACTTGGCAACTAAGGCAATGTATGGTACTTGTGGCTTCAGGAAATCTGAAGGCAGAGCTGTTGTCTTTTGCACCTGCTGTTCTCCATTCATCATGACCTAGAATGAAGCTTCCAGGTCAATACCAGCTTGATTTCTCTATGTTTTATGGCTCAAGTATGTGTCATTGTCAGCAATAGAGTACTACTCTCAAGTTCTGGAAGGTAATGAAGAGCAATTGCAATAGCCTTTGATGTTTGGCAGTCTCTATGAGATCGCACAGGCCAACAACTCAAAGGAAGGTAACCCGTTTCTGGTACTGGGCTTTTTAATTGTAAGTTGAAGAGTCTGGTAGGAGCATTGTCCTCCTCTTATAGGGTAACTCCATTTAAACTATTATTTCAAATATTTTATTTATTATTTTTTTATTTTATGTGTATGAGTGTATTGTCTTACATAAACCGTAAGTGCACTCATACCATGCAATGCCTGTGGAGGTCAGACGTGGGCATCGGATCTCCTGGAACTGGAGTTAGAGATGGTTGCTAGGTCCTCTGCAAGAGCCGCCATTGCTCTTAACTGCAGAGCCATTTGTCCAGCCCATAAACTATTTTTATATATGTAAATTTATAAATTTTAGAGAGCTTCTACAGGGTTAAGTTTCTATATAGTTTTTTTCAAAGGCCTTCAGTATTACTTATCCTTCCCCATAGACCCTCCCGTATCCTACCCTCCCACCCACATCCCATTTAATCCTTCCTGCTCCATTATTCCATTTACCCCTGTATAGAAGCATATTCTATCTCCCTTCCCTTGGAATATCCTCCCTCTCTTATGGCTCATTACTAGCTTCATAACCTATAGGAGTATTCCAAATGAAACACAAATATATAAAGATTCAAAGCTAACATCCATATATGAGATAAAACATATATTTGTCTTTCTGAGTCTGCATTTCCTCACTCAGAACGATTGCTTCCAGTTCTATCCATTTACCTGTGAATTTTATTTCTCTTAATAGCTGAATAATACTCTATTGTGTAAATTACCACATTTTTTCTTATCCATTCATCATAGATGGACATTTATGTTATTTCTATTTTCTGGTTACTATGAGTAGAGCACCAATGACTATGGATGAGGAAGTATCTTTGTAGTAGGTTATAGAGTCCTTTGAGTATAATTCCCAAGAGTGGTGTAGCTGGAATCTGTGGTGGATCTATTTCCAGCTTTTTGAGGAACTTCCACACTGATTTCCATGGTGGCGTCACCCATTTGTACTCCCACCAGTAGTGAATAAGTGTTCCCCTCTCTCCACATTGACACTAGCATTTTTTGTCATTTGATTTTTTTGGACTTAGCTTACAGCTAGAGGAAATCTCATATTAGTTTTAATCTACATTTTCCTGATGGTTAAAAATGTTGGATATCAAAAAAAAAATTTTCCCTTCCATTTGTCTTTCATCTTTTGAGAACTCTCTGCTTAGTTCCTTGCCCCAATTTGTAATTAGGTAGTTTGTTTTTCAGTGTTAAATTAAAAAAAATTCTTGGTGTAATCTAGTTTCTAACACTTTGTCAAACATGTAGCTAGTAAACACTTTTTCTATGCTGTAGGGTGCTTTTTCCCTTGAATGATGGACTCCTTACCTACACAGAAGCATTGTAGTTTCATAAGGTCCCACTGGTCTTAACACTTGAGTATCAGGGTCTTGTTCAAAAAGTCCTTTCCTATGTGTGTAAGGTCCAAATTTATTTCCTATTTTCTCCTCTATCATAGTCAGGGTATCAGGTCTTATATCAAGGTCTTTGATCCATTTGGAGTTAAGTTTTCTGCAGGGTAAGAGATATGGATCTAATTTCATTCTTTCATATGAAGCTCTCCACCTTGACCAGCACAATTTTCTGAATATGCTGCTTTTTCTCCAGTGTGTACTTTTAGCTCCTTTGTAAAAAAATCATGGCCATAGGCACATGTATTTATATTTGGGTCCTTAATTGTATTCCATTGACCAGTGTGTCTTTTATGCCAGTACCATGTTATTTTTATTACTATGGCTCTCTAGTGTAATTTAAAACCAGGTATGGTGATTCCTCTAGCAGGTCTTTTTTATTGATCAGGATTCTTTTGTCAATCTTGTTTTTTATATGAAATTTGCAATTAATTTTACGTTTCTGTGAAAAATTGCATTGGAATTTTAAATTGAGAAATTTTCTCAATTAGAGTGACCTGTGGGCATGTCTGTGAGGCATTTTCTTAATTGCTAATTGATGTAGGAGGACCCAGCCCACAATGCAAACTATCAACACTGGGCAGGTGGTCCTTGATTGTATATGAAAAGTAGATAAGCAAGCCAGAGGGAACAAGCCAGTAAGCAGCATTCCTCCATCACCTCTACTTCAGTTTCTACCTCTATATTCCTGCCTTAAGTTTCTATCTTGGCTTCCGTTGATGATGGGCTGTAAGGTGTAAGAAGAAACAAACCCTTTCTCCCAAGAGTTGGTTTTGGTCAGTGTTTTTAATCACAAGAATTGAAAGGAAAGTAGAAAAGAGATTGGAACTGAAGTGGGACCTCACCATGTAGTTTTTTGGTGGGACTGTGGAAATGTTTGGAGTATTTGCCTGTAAAAGTTGTTGAGTGCTTCAGACCTTAAAAGGTTATTCTGTAGGAGCTTGGAAGATAATGCTGAAAGAAATGCAGAGGATGGAGCCTGGCCTATGAAGTTTCAGATGGAAGTTAGAAAGCCCCAAAAAGACGCTATCTGGGCCTTTTGTGTGCTATTTTGAATTGAGAATTCGTGGTTTCTGTTTGGATCAGACTGAAGAATCAGGTGTTTTAACAAGAGACCAGCACCACTGAAGTTAAACCTTTGCTTGATTGGAACAATCAATTCTGGTCAGCCGGGCTGAAAGATCAGCTGTAATTAAGAGGAGATCAGCATCACTGAGGTGAACTATCCTGGGAAATATTTCCTCAAGACCATCACACAGAAGCTGTGGTCCAGAGGGGATCAAGGCTCCATGTCAAACTATAAGCTGAACTTGGCAATGTGTAAGGGTCTCACATATGTTATTGGTTTTGAAGGCATGAAGAGGTCATGGAGAGCAATTGAGATTTGGCTGTGTGAGAAGACATTGCAGAAAGTATAGCTTCAATTGCAGTGAAGACCCCAGGGTTGAAGGGTCAAGGACTGACAGTGAGGACTAGCCAGGAAAGGCTATTGGTGAAGGTCCAGTTTTAGTTGCAGTGAAGGTCCCAGCGTATTGGAAATTCCAGGACCATGAGATAACTACCAAGGACAGTGGCAGGTGTGATGTGGAGCAGGCCTGAGCTTTGGAGACCAGCTATATGTATTGTGGAGGGCAGAGCCAGAGAAGTAGAGCTGCTCAAGCCTTCTGGAGCCCAGAAGATCATTAGTGAATTCCAAATGTCAGATATTGAGGTATATTGCTTATATTGGTTTTGCTTAAGTGTGCCTGGTTATTCCTTTTTGAAATAAGAATTGTGTAATTTACTCTTCATTTTATAGGATTTTGCAGTTAAGAAACTGGATATTTTAAAGAGACATTGAATTATTTTTTGAGACAGGGTCTCTTTGTAGCCCCAGCTGGCCTGGAACTTGCTATGCAGAGCAGGCTGACCTCAAACTCACAGAGATTTGTCTGCCTCTAATTTTTTTCTATAATGTCACTATAATGTTTCTATTTACTTTTCCAAACTAAATTTGGTATAATACCAATATAACAAAACAGATCAAGTCAGTATTCACAGATAAGAGTTCTGGTAATTTAGAAATTAAAAGTCAGTCTTTCCTAGAATTAGAGTTTGCCAATCCACATGAGATTAGAGCTATGGAGTCAAGCTAACCAAAGGAAAACTCAAATTAAAAGGGAATAGATTTGTTTAAATATTCCAAATATAAATAAGGTAATTCATAGAGTAGAAATAACTATAAGTACATGAGGAAACATAGTCAATCTCACTTTGGTAATGTGTAAATTTGGTTGTTTAAAATTCCTGCTTCCTTCATCTGTTATTTTTTTCTCCATGAGGGTAGTGTTCTGGACTATTTTAGTTTTTGGTATGTTATTCTTAATACATGTCACATGTTATGTCAAATACAGAAGACTAAAAAAATCAGACCTGAATGAAAATGGTTAATAGATTTTAACAGATTTTAATGATATAATCTAGACATTTTTTTCCTTAATGGCTTATTAGCAGCTCTTCCCCTTTCTAGAACACTGCTGTCCCACCTACTATTCAGCCTTATCTACATCAGGTTCTAGGAAGTATTTCCTAGTGATGTGGGACATTAATGATATTTAATAAACAATATGTGGTACCTGCATGCATAAAATGTGATACTTCACCAATAAGGAGAACTGTGAAC